AAACAACCTTAAAGTCTTTTGTTTACCAGTTTTTCTACATTTTAATTTATTGACTTGCTGTGAAACACTTTAATTTTTGAGAAAAGTTCTAAGAGAAAGAACTTATCCATAAGTTCCAGGATGAACACAGCTGTACTATGCCAGGAACTAATGAGAGACTTCCTTCCTATGTGCTTATTTTCTAGTTTGTGACATGTTACATACTAAAGCCACTATAAGGTGTTTTAGGTGCTGATAACATGTTTCACACCTGCTCTTAAAGACAGCAGTACTTAACTACTTCAAATACAGTTATGACAACATATCCTAGTTGTGTTTACAGAACAACAGTAACAAAAAACTGTCATACAACCATTTTATTCTTGGTAAGAGAATGAATTGGCCAACTGATAAACTGTTTCATGGAGTAAAGTCATTTTAATGAGAAGGAATTTAAAAAATAGATTATTTTGCTACCTACTAGAATAATTTTTGTCTTGAATTCGTTTCTTTAGAAATTCTACAAAAAAATCGTTTACTGTGTTAATAAACGTTTGCTTTGTAAAATAGTTTTGCAAGTCTGAAGTTTTTCCATTATTAAAATGTAGGCTCTGTAAATAGAAACAAGTATAATTTCCTTAATGTCATGGATAATGAAGTTTAAAATCAAGGTTATAGTCTTAGGAGTAATCTCTTTAGTTATAACCATGTGGACTGCACATTAATTCTCTAGGAATAAAAGGCCTGGTGGTAAGTAACACTACCCTCTGCTTATGTAGAAGTAACCTGTGCAGCTGGCACTGTGGAGTGTGTAAATGGACTGGTTTCTTCAATGTCATGTTTAAGTTGCATCATAGAGACTTCAGTATATCTACTTCTTTGTCTGCTTCCCAGGAGGGTAAAGCTGCGTCTGGGAAAAGAACTCTGAAAACTGGAAGACTCATCATTGAGGGTTTGTGGGAATCTACCCCTATTTCTCTTCATCCAAGTACAGCCTCCTGGAGTGAAGCAAGTTACTGCCTCACCATGTCAGTCCTAACGCCACGGTTAGGAAGTGCCCTTGGTGTTGGCACTGCTTCTCCTAGAGCTGTGGTCGGCAAACCGCGGCTCGAGAGCCACATGCAGCTCTTTGGCCCCTTGAGTGTGGCTCTTCCACAAAATACCACGTGCGGGCGCGCACGTACGGTGCGATTGTAACTTCGTGGCCCATGCGCAGAAGTCGGTATTTTGTGGAAGAGCCACACTCAAGGGGCCAGCGAGCCGCGGTTTGCCGACCACTGTCCGAGCATTAAGCAGGCAATTGCGAGGTGATTTTGTGCCTTCCAACCATGGTGTGGGAAGTAGTCTCTGCCCAAACTCCAAAGACCTCTACTGCCTTTGGTTTTACCAAAACTTTTGTTACAATTTGGGGAAAAAATAGGTCATGCAGTGGGAGAAGACCTTTGTTAAAGGTAACTTTAAGAGAAATGTGGTTTTGCTATCGATAATCCAACAAATTTGAGTATGAATTATAATTTAATCCTAACCTGTTAAATTTTATATCTTGCCACCCAGGGACATTTTTTGAGATAAAATGAGTGATTGTCCCTTTAATTAAACTTGACAGTGTGAAACTTAAAGTAACCATATTATTTCAGTGGCGGGAGGACACTTGTGCGAAGGACCATTTGTTCACATGTACTAGTATCTAGATGGGGCAGTATGACTGAGCAAGCTTCAAAGACAGCTCAGAGGACCAAATAGCATGTCACCTAGCCAAGCCCCAGAAACCACCCACTTACCTTTGCCAATTTTACAGGGACTCTTACCAAGGCTGGCAAAACCAGGTTTTTAAACCATCATTGTGGCTTCTTTCTGTTAGGAAATAATGACTGTGAGATAAACTAACCTTGAATGATCAACAGCTTCTCAGGATTCCTAAGATGGCCTGTTACACCATTCTTTTTTCAAAATTGTTTGAATTATCTTTAAGTTGTAAATATACTCACAGACTGTAACACTGCTCTTTGATGGGATGAGCTGACCCACAGTACCCCACATGGCACCCTCTTCCTCCATAGAGCTTGTGACCTGAGTGGCCAGGGGGGTCCAACCTTCCCCAGGGGCATGTGCTGACCCTGTACAGATATCTGCAAAGGTAAATAAATGCCCACACTGCCAACAGAGTTGAGTGGCTTCATGGTTCCTTCATCCCCCACCTAGCAGTTTTCTGTGAACCAATCCTCAACTTTATAAGTGACTGTAGCCCAACACTCCTTAATAGGGCAGCTGAAAGGGATGAGAATGGGAGGCGTACAGTCACTGCAAACTTTGCGGATTGTATCAACACACTAAAGCCAGGGCTGCTTTTGTAAATCCTCAGCTTCTAAAACCATTACAGCGCCCTGAATTCCCACCAAGTAATAGAGATTTTAACATAGTCAAACTTATATTTCAATGCATATACAAAGAACCTAGAGAATAATGCTCACTGTCTTCAACTTATAGGAACAACTTCAAGAAAAGGAAGCTACTTGTGACTTGTGTAGATTTAGGTAGGAAAGTCCTGTCAAAAATATTACTCATAATTTCCACTTTATTTACTGTACAAGTTCACACAAAACATACACACTCTTTTCTGCTAAGGTAGATTTATGGTTAGTTTCCATAATACAATACTCCACCGGAGAGCATGGGAAAGAGAACACCAGTGACGGGCTCAACTTCCCAGGCAGGACCCTGCACGCACGCCCCTGGGTGGGTCACGGGCAGCATGCTGTGCTGCCAAACCCTCCAAAGGAAGCCACAGGTTTGCATTTGAATATTTTAAATGCACAGTATCAGAGGAAACAATAAATGCACACACTTTGATTATAGTGACATCATCACACACAGTCACAACTGCAAAAATACTGTTTTTAAGTCATTAAATAAAAAAGGAACTCGCACAAGCTATAAAAATGTTGCCACCACTGATTTTGACTATGAACGAACCCTCGATTTGCTAAAATACAAGAACTATAACATAACAGTCATTACATTTTGTTCATAAATAACTTTCTCTAGATCCTGAGAACATACCTTGGGCCTCTGTGTCACGGCACTACCCTACATTCAACAATGAAACATTTCAAGGAAGGAAGTTTGGATACTGTTAATGGGATTTTCTCCCTCTCCTTTTCCTTTCACCTAGCAAGTCTGTTCTAGTCATCACAGTTATTTTTACTCTTTCATGTGAAATATTTGAAAATTCTTAACTCAGGCACTGATATCGTTGTTTATTTCAAAACAGCAAGTCCCTGACTGACATCACAAAATGTTACCAATACTATTTTTTAAAAACCATACCTCTTTTTCAGGTGCATTTGTTAAGGAATCACGATAAAGCTAAATGGAACTGCCTTAAAACAAAAGCATTTAGTTTTTACTTTTAAGTGGTCAGACCAGAAGGCTCTTTTAAAGAGTGGAAACACACTTTCTAAACTAGTGATGGAAGAAGCATGTTGACTGGCTGGGATTTACATGCTCTTCAGATGGGCAGACCTAAGGCCAGAGGACACGGCTGCAAAAGCACTCCCCACGCCTCACTTTCGCAAAAGTGCATTTGGAAAAAAGCTTGTTACAAAAGCACAGTTGGGTGGTTGTGGAATATATTAGATAAAGCAACAAAACCCCACTTTTCTATAATATTTTCATAAGAGAGCCCAACAGGAAATAAAGTACCAAACAAGCTCCGTTCCAAATTTGTACTGTAATAGCCAGCTTTCTTTTAAGAATCCCTGACTTTTGAAGGAAAAAAATAAATCCTTATCAGATTCCAGGACCCAACACCAGAGTGCCCGTGTCTTCTGGTCCATTCCCTCTGCCTTCAGATGATAATACAACACCTTCCTCTCCATCAGCCCACCCTGCACACATCACTCTGCAGGTACAGCCAGGGAATCCTCAGCCACCTGAGAAACAGCCTCCACAGCTGGGCCTCGGCTGCCCTTTTCTTTTTCTGCTACTTTCTCCTTCACCCCAGGTTAACCCATTCACCATCCCCAAACCTTCTTCCTCACTGAGCTCTTTGTCTGGGCACATTCTACTTCTATCCAACAAAGCCTATTAATTCCAGTTGAGGGCCACCCAAAATTGAAAACATCATTTAAATACTAGTTACTATCTAACATAACATGGGAAATTTCATTACCTGTCATTAATGAGAGCAGCACAAGTCAGAAAAAAACACAGGCTATATATGGCAACAAATGCACATCAAACATAAATCATTTAAGCCTAAAAATATGCACAGAGGAGCTCTGGCCGGTTTCCCTCAGTGGTTAGAGCGCACCAAAGGGTCATGGGTTTGATTCCTGATCTAGAGCACATACCTGGGTAGCAGGTTTGATCCCGGGCCCTGGCTGGGTCACGTGTAGGAGGCAACCAATTGATGTGTCTTTCTCACATCAATGTTTCTCCCCCGCCCCCCTCGCCACCCCTCCCATTCACTCTCTCTAAAAAAATCAATGGGAAAAAATATCCTTGGGTGAGAATTAACAAGAAAAAAATATGTACAGAGGAGATTCAAAAAACAAGATCATGTCTAAGTACAATGTCAGCATGTAACATAATGGGTAGGGGTCAAGTTCGTAAATTATAATAGAGCACTTATCATGTAAAATAAAAGGATAGAATTCAAAGTTCAAATACAAAAGCTAAAACAATCCCATCAGCTAAGAAGAAAATAGTCTCCTGAGAAGCTAGTTGGAGGCATACAGTAAACCTCTGTACCATATATACCCTACCTAACTCATCATGGTCGATAAATGGATAAAATAACTGAAACCTTTTCTCACGCTTTGACTTATAATCTCTGGGCCTAGTGAGGATGAGCATGACTGTGGCATAAAGGAAGGCATCTCAATGTGGGAAAGAGTATGACCATGAAAGTAAAGAGAAGGGGTATGCCAGTTCCACCACCTTTATGTAAATATAAGGAAAGGGATTTCCCCGCCAACTAAAAGTGAAACCAGGTCTAGGAAAAGGAAAATTTCCATTTCTCATAGATCTTATATATATTTGTGTGTGTGTGTAAATACAAAGCAGTCAAACCCACCTTGACATTCATCCACACACATAAGCAAGTTTAAGTGATGCAGGCAGACCTGTGTTCCGAATTTTCACATGCATGTTAGCATAGGGAACAATATCAAAAGCAGAAACTGGTCATTAGTATTATCAAAAAATCACAAGGTAACAACAACAAATTTATAATAAAGAAAGTCATCAACTGATTCCTAACAACCACCCTAAACTAAATACATATACTTAGAGAATACATCCAGATGCAGATTTACAGAGAGAGTGCAAAGCAGCGATTAGAGCAAATTGGGTTAGATACTCAAGTCCAAGAAAAAGGACAGAATATGTGGCAAAACTAAACATGACTCTGCAAATATCAAACAAGAATAAAATTCTGAAGTAGTACTCGGAAAACTCTGGGGACTCTGGCAAGCATGAAATAGCCCATCACACCCACAATATGCACAGGAGATTCTTTTATCCATTTGCTTAACAGTGATATAAACACGGCAAACACACACACATCGTTTGGTTCATGTGCAACAAAACTAAGCCATTAAATGGGCATCCCATAAAGATCACTTGGCCCTAAGAGGAACTAAAAAGGAGTTAGCTGCATGCCACAAAGACGTATAAATGTTTCACTTTAGGTCTCCGTCTCCTTCTCCATCCCCTTGGATGGACTTTTTGATACGAAGCAACATGGTAGTAAGCCACTGATCCAAGCGAGATATCGAGTCAAATTCCTTCACCTAGTTTAAGGTTAGAGGAACAGGAATTAGTTTATGGAAATACAATTGAAATAAAGCAGCTGTTTAAATTTAAATAGTGATAATCAACCAACTTTCTTCATTTAAAATTATTCATTCCAGTTCATAACAGTCATTAAAAATTATTTATTTTTTCATTATTCTCTGCCTTTTTTGATGGAGCTATTAAGTTTCTGTGCCTTTTATATTGCTCTGTATATAACATGTGATGACAAAAATCCCTAACAGCCTTTATAATTGGAAGAAGATCACAATTAATATGACAAAGGAAATTAGACCATGTATAAGACTTAGAAGGGAACACGGAAAATTAACAGGGTTCCAATATTCACTGAACAAGAAAAAAGGTATTTGCAGAGACAGGATGTATGGAAGCAGGATTCCTTTAACTCATTGCAGCATATTAATAAAGAATAAGACTTCAATAGGATGTAAATGGTTTTGCAGCAAAAGTTAAATGGGAAAACATTCCTCCCCACCACTGCTTCAAAGCCATGATAAATATATTAATGGCAGATACTGAGAAACTTGTTTGACTCTAAACATAAGATGGCAAAAGATGGGAAAACAGAAGATAGATGAATAAAAAGAAAAAATCTTCCATTTATGTTATGCCTGGAATATAGCAAACTCTTACTGCTTTGTTTTTATATTTTAAATTGTACTGAACTGATTTTACTTTACACTTACTTACGGAGCATATTATTTTCAAAACAAAACATTCAAACAGCAAATTATAACAGTATATGATTTTTTTTCTTGAATTTGCCTTATAGTTAAATTCACCATAGCTAATGAAACCATATAATTGTATAGGTTTGCAGGATATCAAAAACATGACCTTTGGAAAATACAATTAGGTATACTGGAACAATGTTCAAATAAATGTTCACATTTACACAATGAAAAGAAGAAAAAGTTCCTGTAATAAACCTTCGAAGTATGTATTATATTTCAAAGACATAACTTACTGCTTCAGTGTAAGCTTCACTGTTCTGTTCTTCATGAGCTTCTAGAAGTTTCTAGTAACATAAATATGGAAAAATTAGTTTGGTAGGCTAAAAAAGTTCCATCTGTGACTAGAGATACTTTAAATACAGAAGTAGCCTTAGTATCACATTAACTGATGTTGCTAAATACTTTATAAAATTGGAGAAATATTCAAGTACAAATAAAGAATTACCCCAAGCCCTGGGTCCAGTATTTGAGCTAACATTTTTGCCTGCTTCGGAACACAACACTCTATCCCTGACTCTCAGTGGCATTTGAAACCTAATATTCAAAAGTAGGAAAGGCTCTTCCGCAGACTCCACAGATTTATCCTTCACTTCACACCCAGTTCCACCTGACAGCAAAGGCTTTTTCTTCAAAGTCCTAATATTACTTACTTTCAATAATTTACATTCTCTTGAATCAGTAAATGCTGGAAACATTTCCTCATATTTCTCAAGAGCCAGCTGAGAGAGAAAAAACACTTGTTAATGTCTGACTCACTAAACCAGGAAACACAGCTTTGAACATTCTTTTTTTTATTTTTTAAATATATTTTTATTGATTTCAGAGAGGAAGGGAGAGGGAGAGAGAGAGAGAGAGAAACATCAATAATGAGAGAGAATCATTGATTGGCTGTCTCCTGCACGTCCCCTACTGGGGATAGAGCCTGCAACCCCGGGCAGGTGCTCTTGACTGGAATTGAACCTGGAACCCTTTGGTCCGCAGGCTGACGCTCTATCCACTGAGCCAAACCAGCTAGTACTGAACATTCTATTAGCTTCGGTAAACTCATCTACATCCTATTTAACTGTATAAGTATGTGTTAAATTCATCAAAATCAACAGAGGAATCCTATCCTGATTTTCAATTTCAGTTAAGAATCTATTTCTAAACCAATTTTCCAGATTGACGTTACTATAGAGAAGATGTTGTAAACCAAATATAATTCTTAAAACTCATAAACAGGTGTCTTTTTTTTTTAAAGGTACCCAGTTTAGTCTTGCAACTAACGAATATCACCCAAACCAAGTGATATCAAGAACAACAGAGTACCTGAGTGAGGCCCGCTCTCACGGGCAATGTGCATCAGAAAACTAGTACTAAGGACTGACCATACCTTGGCATTCAACTCATCGACTATGAAGTGACAGAGGGCAGCTTTAAAGAAGTAATCCTTTGCACTGTACTTCAACAGAGGATTATCCATGGTGTTTGCCCCAACCTAGGCACAGAAAGCAGAGTTAGATGTAAAAGGTTTGTGGTGTTTTTTTAAAAATTGAATTTATTGGGGTGACACTGGTTAATAAAACCAAACAGGTTTCAAGTGTACAACTCAATAAGACATCATCTGCATAGCACATCATGCACTCACCACCCAAAGTCAAGTCTCTTTCCGCCCCGTTTATCCCCCTTTGTCCACTTTCTCCTCCCCACACCCCCCTTTCTATCTGGCTATCACTACATTGTTGTCCATGTTTTGTGTCATACATAATATATTATTTTTAAAAAGTTTTGGCTTCTTACATTAGGCAAACTGATGATCATCTATTGCCTTTAGAAAATAATTCTGTATCTTATGTTAGTTTAGCTATGAAATCCATTTTTAATCCAATATTATAACTAGAAAATTTTACTAGAAGAAATATTTAACACATACAGTGCTAACCACTTAAAAATGAACTCAGAAGACTTTGACCTGTAGGAAGATGGAACAGACATCCTTTCCTCTATTCCTAAGTACAACTAAAAGCCCCAGTCATTTTATATGAAACAAATGTAAAACTGAAAGGCGAAGAGAGAACAGAAGACTGATAGGGACCTTGAGACACAATGGAAAACATGACAGTGAATTCCCTGGGTTTCCTTTTTCTTTCATATATTCCTGACTTTTTATAGAAAAAGCTGGCATAAAAGTCTTTGGATATATTAAAAAAAAAAAAAAAGACTAGACAAAAGTTTGCTGTCTCTAGCCAAAGGACTAGGGAAGGGGCAGCCTAGCATAGTAAGACAGAAAATGTTTAGACAATAACTGCTCTATTCTAGCCAAATACCACAAGAAAACGGTGGCCTTAACCTCACTCATGTCATCAAAGGCCAAAGAGGAAATCAAGATGTCCATCCTTTCGAGACTGCAAACAGGAGCCCAACATTCCCAAGGTGACTTCGGAGAAGGCCAAGAAGGGAGCAGCCTTCATCCCCGCCAGCTAGTAACGAGCCCACACTTTTCCCCTGCAGCTGAGGCAGTGCAGCCCACACAGGCAGCCTCGATTCCACCTCTGCCCAGCAGAACCAGGCTTCTCACCTCCCAGTAGGCATGGTTTCAGAAGAAGCCTAGTGGAGGGTTAAGACTTTCACCATCACTGGCAGTAACAAGGACAACCCCACCATGGAGGTGGTGGACAGCAAGCAGGCGCTGGAATGAAATGAGGGCCTGCCCCCAGATGCCAATGGAGGCCAAGTGGGAAGCCTCCACCTGGCAGTAAAGGGCAACACACCCTTCCCCAGCCAGGGCAATGCCACAGAAAACCAGCTGGCAGAGAAGGTTTAAGTAACAGGGTTAGGTTAGGGTTAGGGTAAAAATGTGCAGTTTTCAATGGAAACTTACTCGCCATACAAAAAAAGGGAAAGATCTTAAGCTGAATGAAAAAAGACAACCAACAGATGACAGCTCTTAGATGGCAGAAATGTTAGTATTATATAACAAAGGTTTTGAAAGAGCCCTCATAAAAATGCTTCAAAATAGTAACACAAAAACACCTGAAAGTAAAACAAAACAAAAAATAGAAAGCAAAATCAACATCAACAAAAAAGAAATTCACAACAAAAAACCCAGAAGACATAAAGAAGAACCAAATGGAAATCTCAGAACCGAAAAACACAAAACCACATAAAAAGGAGATGGGCTCAGCAGCAGAATAAATGGGACAGATGAAAGAATCAACAAACTGATGAAAGAACATTAGAAATTAGTCTCAACAACAGAGAGAAGACAAACTGAAAAACAAAAAACAAACAATAAAAAACAATAAACAAACCATCAGGGACCTACGCGACCATGAAATGAGGTCTAACATTGGGATCCTCTGAGACCTGGAAGGGGAGGAGAAAAAGAGAGCAGCTAAATATATACTATAAGAAATAATGGCTAAAAATTTCCCAAATTTGGTAAGAAGCAAGAGCCTACAGATTCAAGAAGTTTAGTGAAACCCAAACAGGATAAAAGCAAAGCTATCTATGCCACACCACATTAACTTCTGAAAACTAAAAGTTAAAGAAAAAAATTTGAAAGCAGCCAGAGAAAAATAACTTCTTATTTACAGGGGAAAATCAATGTGAATAACAGCCAACTTTTTACCAGAAACCACAATGGCCATAAGTGGCACTTTTTCAAGTACTAAAACAAAACAAAACAAAACATCAACCCAGAATTGTATACCCAAGGAAAATATGCTTCAGGAAGGAAAAAAAAACCAAAACATTCCCAGATAAAGGAAAACAAAAATATAGGTTGCCAACAGACCTACCCTAAAAGAATGGTAAAAGGGTATTCTTTAAGCAGAAAGGAAACAATAAAAGACTGAATCTCAAAACATCAGGAAGGAAGCAAGAACACAGCAAACAAAATGTGGTGAATACAATGAGCTTTTCTTCTCTTGAGTTTTCTAAATTATGTTTGATGGTTGAAGCAAAAATTATGGTTATAAAAGTACGTAAAGAAAACATTTAAGACAGTTATATATTGAACAGAGAGTAAAAAGAAAGTAAGGTAAGATTTCTTTATTTCATTGGAAGTAATAAAATGAAGTCCCCATTAGCCTATGATAAGTTATACAAATGTAACAGCTAGAGCAATCACTAAAAAAGCCATACTCAAAAACACTATAGGTAAGGCACCCACTGGAAGGCAGGAAAAAAGAAAACAGAAATGTAAAGCAACATAAATAGAAAACAAATATAAAATGGCAAACATAAGCCCTAATATAACAATTCTATCTAATAAAAGAGTAATATGCAAATTGACCATCACTCCAACACACAACATGGCCGCCCCCATGTGGACACAAGATGGCCATCAGGGGAGGGCAGTTGGGGGCAATCAGGCCAGCAGGAGAGGACAGTAGGGAGGGACCAGGCCTGAAATGGAGGGCAGTTGGGGGTGACCAGGCCGGCAGGGGAGTGGTTAGGGGGTGATCAGGCTGGCAAGCAGAAGCAATTAGAGGCAATTAGGCAGGCAGGCAGGCAGGCATGCAAGTGGTTGGGAGCCAGCAGTCCTGGATTGTGAGAGGGATCCCAGATTGGAGAGGGTGCAGGCTGGGCTGAGGGACAACCCCCGCCCCCATGCACAAATTTCATGCACCGGGCCTCTAGTAATTATAATAAATGTTGTCAAAATATGCTAATTAGCAAAGTGAATTAAAAAGCATGACCTAACAATAAGCTGTTCATAAGAAACTCACTTCAGCCCTAACCGGTTTGGCTCAGTGGATAGAGTATCGGACTACGGATTGAAGGGTCCCAGGTTCGATTCCGGTCAAGGGCATGTACCTTGGTTGCGGGCACATACCCAGTGGGGAGCGTGCAGGAGGCAGCTGATCAATGTTTCTCTCTCATCAATGTTTCTAACTCTCTATCCCTCTCCCTTCCTCTCTGTAAAAAATCAATAAAATATATTAAAAAAAAAAAGAAACTCACTTCAATTATAATGATATAGGCAGGTCAAAAGAAAAAAGATGCAAAAAGACATATATAAACATTAATCAAAAGAAAGCAGGAAAGGCTGTATTAATATCAAATAAAGTAGACTTCAGAGCAAAGACAATTATACTATACAGGATGGGGCAAAAGTAGATTTACAGTTGTTCATATGGAAAATAATACAATAATTAATAAAGAGTAATACAAGAATAAATTCTGTTTTGCATACTCACAACTATAAACCTACTTTTGCCTCACTCTGTATAATGATAAACGTGTCAACCCACCAAGAAGACATAGCAATCCTAAACATGTATGCAGCAAGCAACAGAGCTGCAAAATATGTGAAGCAAAGACTGACAGAAATGAAAGGAGAGAGACAAAAACCCACAATAATAGTTGCAGACTTCAACACTCCAAGCTCATCAATGGATAGATCTAGAAAGGAAAATTAGCAAGTATATAGAACTCAACACCATCAACCAAGGAAATCTAATTAACATTCATAGAACATGCCACCCAGGAACAGCAGAACTACAGAACATATGCCAAGAAAGACCATATTCTGGGCTATAAAACCAACCTTGACAAATTTATAAAAATTGAAACCATAGAGTGTTTTCCAGCAACAATGGAATTAAACTAGAATTCAACAACAAAAAGTTAACAGGAAAATCTCCAAACACTTAAACTTCCCAACTCATTCTATGCGGCCAGTATTACCTTGCTACCAAAACCAGACAAACACATCACAAGAAAAAAAAAATTAAAGATCAGTATCCCTTATGAATATAAATGCAAAATCCTCAACAAAATATTAGCAAAATAATTTTGGCAACTTACAAAAAGGATTACATGACTATACAGTCAAGGATTAATTTGTCTAAAGTGAGGTCTGGCCTTTGTCCATGACTCCTGGGTGGTAATTTCTAAATCCTTGGAATGTCCTGCCTGATAAGAGTCAACCACATCTACATGACTGAGCCCCAATAAAAACTTCAGACACTACATTCAGTGAGCTTCCCTTCTTGTCCATACTCTACGCTTACTTTCACATATTGTTAGGTGAAGTGCTGTCTGTACAACTCTATAGGGGGAGGACAACAGAAAGTTCCTCACTTGGAACTCTGGATCCTACCCTATGGCAGGCACCTCTTACTTTAGCTGATTTTAATCTGTATCCTTTTTATAATAAAACATAAATGTGAGTATAACAGCTTTCATTGAGTTCTATGAATCCTAGAGAATTACCGAACCTGAAGATGTTCTTGGAGTCCCCTAAACGTTGCAATGACTAAGTAAGATTTGTCCCAGGAATATAAGGTTGGTTCAACATATAAAAATCAATGAAATATACTATATTAGTAGACTTAAAGGACAAAAAACACATGATCCTCTCAACAGATGCAGAAAAAGCACTTGACAAAATCCAATACCCTTTGATGATAAAAATAGTTAAAGTAGGAAGAAAAGAGAACTTCCTCAAACTAATAAAGGACATCTATTAAGAAACCCACAGCTATCAATATACTTAATGGTGAAAAGCTGAAAGCTTTCTTCGTAAGATGGGAACAAGGTGAGGATGTCTGCCCTTGCTACTTCTATTTAACATTATATTAGAAGTTCTAGCCAGGACAAATGAAAGAAAATGAAGTAAAGGGCATTCAGATTGCAGAAGTTATGAAACTATCACTATTGCAGATGACATGATTTTGTATATAAAAACATCCACCAAACAAAAATTAGAGCTAATAAATAAGTTCAGCAAGGTTGCAGTATATAAAACTAGCATTTAATAATCTGAAAAGGAAATTAAGAAAATAATTCCATTTATAATAGCATCAAAAAGAATAAAATACTTAGGAGTATGTTTAACCAAAGAAGTGCAAGACTTGCACACTGAAAACGATGAAACATTGAACAAAATTAAAGATCTAAATAAATGGAAAGGCACCTTGTGTTCACAGACTGTAAGACTTGATGACATTTTCCAAATTGGCCTATAGATTCAATGCAATCCCCGTCAAAATTCTAGCTGGTTTCTTAGCAGAGATTGACAAGCTGATCCTAAAACTCATATGGAAATGCAAGAACTCCAAATAGTCAAAGCAATTTTTAAAGAAGAAGTTGGCCCTGACTGGTGTGGCTCAGTGCTTAGAAGGTTGTCCTGCACACAGCAGAAAGGTTGCCGGTCGATTTCCAGTCAAGGGCACATACCTGGGTTGCAGGTTCGTTCCCTGCCCTGGCTGGGTGCACAAGCAGAGGGCAACTAATAAATGTATCGTTCACATCAGTGTTTCTCTCTCTCTTCCCCTTTCTCTCCCTTCCACTATCTCTAAAAATCAATGGAAAAATAATCCTTGGGTGAGAACGGATGGACGGACAAACAAACAAAGTTCCTTGGAAGACTCTCACATTTCCCGACTTCAAAATGGACTACAAAGCTACAGTAATCAAACAATGTGATATTGGCATAAAGATAGACATACATATCAGTGGATTAAAACAGAGAGCCCAGAAATAAACCTTTGCATATTGATCAATTTTCAACAGGGTACCAAGACCATTCAATGGCAAAAGGATGGTATATTGAACAAGTAGTGGTGGGAACACTGAAAATCTACAGGTAAAAAAGAATGTAGTTGAATCCTTAACTAAGACCATATACAAAACATTACCTCAAAATAGAATGAAGAGCTAAAACTATAAAACTCTTAAAATAAAACAGGCGGAAAGCTTCATGACCTTGGGTTTGGCAATTTCTTGGATATGACATGAAAAACACAGGCAAAAAAAGAAAAATTTGACTCAAGAAAAACTTAAGGGCAACCCACAGAACAGGAGAAAATATTTGCAACCACTTATCTGATAAGGGATTAATATCCAGAATATATAAAGAACACCTAAAACTCAATACCAAGAAACAAATAACCTGTTTCAAAAATGGGCAAAGGAATTGAATAGACATTTCTCCAAGGAAGATATATGAATGACCAATAAGCACATAAAAAGATACTCAACATCACTAATCATTAGGGAAATGAAAATCAAAGAAACATTGAGAGACTGCTTCACACTCATTAGGATGGTTCTCAAACAAGCAAACAGAAAACAACAAGGATTGGTGAGGATGTGAAAAACTGGAACTCCTGTACATTGCTGATAGGATGGTGAAATAGTGTGGTAACTGTGGAAAACAATTTGGCAGTTCCTCAAAAAGTTAAAAATAAACTTGACACATGTCCCAACAATCCCAATACTAAGTATATAACCAAAAGAACTGCAAACATACGCTCAACAAAAACTTGAACATAAATGTTCATAGCAACATTATTCATAATAGCCCCTAAATGAAAATAACCCAAGTGTCCATCAGTTGATAAATGGATAAGCTGTGGAATATTACTCAGCTTTGAAAATGAATGAATTAATACATGTTATAGCATAAGTGAACCTTGAAAAAAATTTTACTAAGTGAAAGAAGCCAGTCACAAAAGGCCACACATATTGAATGATTCTATACATATTAAAGGCCTACAATCAGCAGATCCGCTTAGACAGACAATAGATAGTATTTCCAGGGACTGGAGGAGAGCATGGGGCTTCTTTTGGAGATGATAAAAATGTTTGTGAATTAGGAAATGGTGATGGTTACACACCCTCTGTGAATATACTAAACACCACAGACATGGTACTCCTTAAAAGGATGAATTATATAATGTGTGAATTAGTCTTAATAAAAAGGAAAATTAAATTTAAAAGTAAAAAAAAAAAGAGATTCAGAGTAAATTCTGCTGGAAGTGGAACAGACAGCAGTAACCTCACCTGCTCATAGATCTCGATGGCTTTCTGGTATTGCTCAAGCTGGGCAGCATATGCTGCCACCTTTAGCAGACACTTGTTAGCTGAACTGAAATCAAGAACCAGAGCAAAGTAAGTAACAGAGAAATAAAGTGACATCCCAGTACACGTTCATTTGGTACAGTACAGTACGTTTCGCTAACAGAGTATAGTAAACATTTATCTTTTATCACACTTGACAAAAATCCATTTAATTATGTTAAGAAAAGTAATACTTGCCTGTTGGATTCTTCTCCTTTGTAATAATCAGCTGATTGTTCATAATGTGCAATAGCCTGAAAACACACACATACCTTATTCAAACTACTTGTTTAAAGAGTTGCATTTAAAAAACTACACTTGCATGGGTATTTTTTCTTATAGATAAACCTATCCTAATAGTAAACCTTTCACAACTTGGCCTACTTTATTCAGGGAACACAAAAATGCATGCACCTCTCGAAGCCTGACAGCAGACTGCTCGCTGTCCATCAAAATCTCTTATCCCCCTCCCCCATGGCAAATACCCAGCTACACCACTTCCCCAGCCTGTACTGCAGTTAGAGAAGCCATGAGACCTATTCCTTCCAATAGAATATAAACAAACATGCTGTAAACTACTCCAGGCTTGGTCCATACATCTGACTCTGCATCCTTCTCCAGGCCTTTTCCCTTCTCATGAGCCAGAATGGCAATAGCCAAGTCTAGAGTGGCAATGGAAGCCACGAGCTAAAGGTGGCAGAACTTCTGTCAGCCTGGTTCCTAATTACAAAGGGCAGAATGGGCTTTAAATCCCATGCCCCACCACTGCCAAACCCAGAATAGCTACGCTGGATTGTTATTTTTGAGATATGTGAAGCCCTATTAAATTTAGATTTAAGGTTTGCTAAAGCAGCACAGATTATCCTCACTAATAACCTACGTGTCATCTAGATTAAAGGTCTTGTTTTCACTCTAAAATGTGTGGTGCTGAATTCACAGTCAAGTGGAAAATAAAGAATGCAGGCTGCAAAGCTCAAAGCTCTGGTCCTGTGGGGCATAGAGTCAGTGAAATCAAGCATATGACAATTCAGAAGGCAAAACATATGCAAGCTCACTCTTTCTCTTGAGAACACCCATGCCTTTCCCCAGGACTCCCTCTCTTCTCTAGAGCAGACTTGGGCCTTTCTGCCAATATCTTGATTAGTTTGGAATGCCCAGGAAAGTTTTTCAATGAATTTATGATTAATCAAAAATAATCTTCTTCGAATTGTCCTCATTCTCAAGTATTCAGCACTAGTTTGCACTGTAATAAATAGGGTAACATAAGAAACATGAACAAATCTTTTTATAAAGAGTATCAGTTATATAACCTCTTCCTAAGGAGGAAATGTAGCTACTTTCTTCCCAGTTCTTACAGCACCCCAGCACTCAATGAATAGAGTTGGGTTGAACCATATGTAACTACTGTTTTGGAGGTTAAAAAAACAAAAAAAGGCCCAATGTCAACAATTTGGTTTAGCCTAATACTTATTAAATAATGATACTGGTTCATCAAAATGTTATAACTGTAAACTTCAGCTAGGTTTATTATAATAAAAGAAAAATTTTAAATTTAGTTTTTAATGCTAATTAAACCAATAATAAAAAATTATGGTTTTCCCAAGTTTTGACAGAGACTAAAGTTGAAAGGAAAGCTTATCTACTGGCTTAGAGAAGTTTCAGAGTAAACAGGTCGGCCACATGTTATTTTTGATGTTCCACCTAGTTTGGAGTTTTAACAAGTAGTGAAACTTATGAAGCATACGCAGAACCTTTCACACTAGAAATCGGCCCACTGTAAGTTACAGTCCCAAAGACAATAACATAAAAAGTAGAACAAAGCAACCAATAATAATAGCACACATAGCAATAAATCCAGAAACAACCCAGCGGATTATCCTGTGATTTAAGTAGCATGCCACAGGGATCACTAGACTCCTTGGGAGAGCTGGGCAAGTGGCACCGTGCTGCAGAATACATGGATCCTGAAATGAAACAAGGCTTTCTAGGACTGCACCGTCGTCATTAAGGCAAATGCAATTTCCAGGGTTCAAGCTTAAGGGTCCACTTTGTAGGTAAAATAGCTTTAAATATGGGATTGATTCTTTTAGAACACATACCCCCAGACAGGACCTAACAGGAACCTGACACACTACATGTAATAGTAACAAACAATACTAAATCATGTCCTCTAGGGACTTAAGACAGAAATGAGTCATCATTCCTCTGGACCATTTAAAAAGGACCTATTTATTATTTGGTTCCATGTTTTACTTTGTGAAGTCAAAGAAGTAATGTGAGTTTATGAAACTTCACCATTCACTAGTTAAAATCTGTGAATGAGTCAGACGACATATAGAGGCTAGTATTAAAAGGAAAGAAATTCATTTGTTAGAAATCAGATATAAAGTACTTGGTGTAACTGATTTTTTCAAACTTAAACTTCATACACCAACCAAAATCTGATGGACCCACCAGAGACACGAAGGCAATGTTTCTAAACATAGCAGGCCAAACATCAGAGAACACAATGAGCTAACCCCGTGTGTTTGAGTAATATTCTTAAATTGCTTTTTAAAAAAGAACACAACAATGAAAAAAGATGTCACCTACTGGCCAACTCGCAGAATGGCAGGAACACTGTGGGTAGTGAGTAATGGAAGTTTCAGAAGCTGCGTGGCAAATCATCAAATTTTTTTATAAAGAAAGAAAACAAGAGTGCACCTTAAGTCATTTTATCCACCCTCAATTTTAAGGAAGCCCCTGTGGTGAAGTGGTTGCCCGAGCCCAGGTGCCGGAAACCGGTCCATCCTTGCTGCTTGACACAGTCGCTGCAGGGAAGAAACATCTGCACAGCATATGTTTCAAGGGACCTGGGGTATATGGCATACTGTTCTTAATATGTTTGCTCCCCTTCTTAGCGCTATGTGTTTTAACCAAGGTCACCTCTCCAAGAAAGGTTGTTTCCCCAGGTGGGGATTTTTCCCTGGAGTTAGGGATTAACAGGACTAAGGAAGGGAATCAGTAAAACCCCTTAACTAAGTGGCAGGCAGGTAGTTAATCACTTTAACTATGAACAATCACACTTAAGCTACATAATCTTTTCTTAGGATAATCTCCTTCAGTTACTTCCTTGTAGCTTAACAGAATAATAGAGTAGTGACCTTGGAATGGAGATAACAAATGCCCTAACCTTTGGAATAGAATGGATAGGATTAAAATCAAATGGTATAAATACAGATGTAACAGGAGAATAAAAAAAGAACCTCGCTATGCTGATCAACTGAACGCTCTCTGTGTCATTCCTTCTTCGCCGACTCTGTCCACATCTTTGGGAACCCCTGGACCTGCTGGGGCTGGACCCCAACACCCCCAGCCCTGGCAGCAGAGATGGCACAGAGCACTTCAGGCTTCTGCCTCCAGAGTGCTCTTCTGACCACTGTGGACAAGGAGTTGATGCAGTGGCTTCAGCTGGCAAGATGATACACAAGTGCTCATCTCCCCAAGACTGAGGCCACCCCAATAAAGACAGTGAGAAGTGCTGAGACTTAGGAATTTTGAGGACAGTGCCCACAGAAATTGCTCACAGGTTGGATGTGGAGAAAGAGAAAAGGCAAGTATGCCTGTGGAGGGGGAACATCAGGTGGGAAGGAAGGCCAGGTCAGAATTCAGTTTTACACATGCTTGCCTTGAGACTACAGTAGAGAGGTTGGCAGACATGGGGACATAGGAATTTAAAGCTCGGATAGAGGTCTAGGCTGCAGACAGATTTGCAAGTCCTGGAATACAGATGGTACTTAAAGTTGTGATCCTGAGTGAGTGCAGATAGACATACCGAGGGAGCAAGACGGAGAGAAGACAACGACCCAATTCTGGGGTCACACTACAGGGTGAGAAGAAGAAAAGGAACCAGCTAAGGAGTCAGGAAGAGAGCGCTCAGTGAGGTGGCCAGAGGACCAGGTGGGAGACATGTTCTAAAAGCCAAGAAAGAAGTAAAACAAAGGAGAGGAAGAATGACAACTGTCCAATGCCACAGCAGGCACGGGGAGTGCCACGACCACTGAGATAGGAGGCAACTGGAATCTTTCAGCATGTTTAGTGTTCATTATTCTGAGAGTGATGATCTCCACTACATTTCTCTTTCTGATTCACACCTGTGTCATCCGCAGTACTCAGGAGGACAGCTTTACATAAACAATTGTCTCCAGTCTGAGTTGAGGCAGCCTCTGAAGTGTGGCCAATGTGTTTTCCTTTCACCAGGGTACACTCCAGCCCTGCAGGAGATCCCCTCACTGAGAAGGCAGCAGGAGATAGGACAGTGCTGGGCCAGCTTTGCATACGCTCCACTCGTTCCAGTCTGAGTGAGCATAGGCAGTGGAACCATTGTGAGTCCTAGTTTTTCCATAGCCATAAAGCTGAAATGTGGTAACATTCATGGCATGCTACCAAGGACAATGTTTGGAAAACAGTATTTTCTCAAAAGGTGTTTCCTTCTTCCTCTTTTCTTCTGCTACTAGAGGCATACCTTGTTTTATTGCATTTTCATCAACATCAAAAAATAATCCAACCAGCAAACAGATTAGGACTCACCGAATGCTCAGATGATAAATTTTTTAGCAATAAAACCTTTTTATTAATTAATGTATATACACTGTTTTAATAGACATAATGCTACTGCACACTGAATAGGCTATAGTAAATCCTCACTTAATGTTGTCGATAGGTTCTACCACCTAAAGTGAAATGACATAACGTAACCAATTTTACCATAGGCCAATTAATATACACAAGAGTTAAGTTCCTACAGTATCTTATCGTTACAATGGAACAACGCTGAACAAACGATGCTATACTAGGATGTGCTGTATAGTGTACACATAGCTTTCATATGCACTTGGAAATTCACATGTGTGACTCACTTTATTGTGCTTTTCACTTCATAGGAGTGGTTTGAAACCAAACCCATGATATCTCCAAGGTATGCCTGTACTAGTCTAAACCACCACTTAAAAAGCCAGGCTTGAGTGAAGCAGACATGTGGCCAAGTTGGTGTTCAGCTACCTTCTTCCCCAGGTTTCAAGGCCTGAAGACAAAGATGTGCAAATGCCCACAGTACTTAAGCTTCCTTCCCAGGGCCACAGAAGCCTCAGCAAAAGAGATGAAGATTCTAACATGAATCACATAAGCAGACACAGCAAGTAAATCTTCACTAGCTCTCATCTCCAATACTTACTCCAGGAAAACAGTTCCTCTACTCCTTAGCCACCAAGCCCCTAAAACTTCCACGTGTAGCCATGCATGACGGTCACGCTACTCCATTCAACTCTGATGGAAGAGGCAAGAGTCCCTGGAGTCAGTTACCTGCTTCACGCCAAGGTTATGAGAATGTGACCCATTGCTTACCTTCTCGATGTCTACAAGTTCAGTCTCATAAATCTCAGCAATAGTAATGTGGTGTTTGGCTGCGATTGTAAACCTTCCCTGGGGGAAAACAAAAAACAGAGTTATATTCCTGTTTTACATATTTTAATGCCAATCAGTTTAGGAACAAGATAAAAAAAAAAATACAACTCTAAGCCATTTCAAGGAGTCCACCCCACAGTCACTCAAGCAAGGTAATGTCTTACCATGTCTGTGTAAATGTCGATGGCTGCATTTAAGCAGTTGATAGCCTCTGAAGCGTAGGCATTTAAGAAAAACAATGAAAAATCCATTCAGTCAAAGAGGGTTCAAGTGAGCCTATTTTCCTAGCTGCTACTAGAACATTAAGGAGGTCCCATTTGGGGCAGAGGGTGGGCATATTCTTTAATGAGAAACAAACATGAATCATACACAAGTCCAGGCCCCCTCAGCATGCTCTGTCTGTAGCAGCTGCAGTACAACTTAGGGAACTGGAGCTAGAGTGGTATTGGCTCGGTTACTCTTAATCTACGAGTGAGGACTCCATCCAGGGGAGAGATTGCATTATAAAGCAAACAAATGGGACTGTCATCAACACCCATCATTTACACCTGCTGAAACACAAATGTAATTGTATTTTTCAGTGACATCATGTATATACAGTATATTAATTCTGGAAGAAAGTTCTCTGTAAGAAAGATGACTTCAATAGACTACTCTTCATGCAGCCAAAATCAAAGCACTTTGAAATCCCTGTTCAGACAACTCTTAAGTCAACATTTTGTACAATGTTAAAGATACTAACTTTTGGTATAATAACATACACACAAAAGGAATAAAAAAATCTAGTAAGTGACAGTGTTGGTAAAGTATATTATTTTTCCAAAAGTTAGGCTGTGTTCAGAACCAACACACCATCACAAAATGGTGGTGTTTATAATTCTGGCACATGTCTGACAGCTCCACATTTATTGCTTCTAGAAGAGAGGTGGCAGAGTAAAAAGGCCTAACTAAAAAATCAGAAAGTAGATGAACAAAAGTTAAAAGCAATTTCCTCCTAAACTATGTAAGAAATGTGAATTCACTGTCGCTCCCTTAAAATTACAGGAAAATATAAAGAGAAAAATAAGCTACCTATGATCCCACTCAAACCCACTCTCATGTTTCCAGTCTTTTCTAGGTGCATTTTTATGTGCACAGACTTTATTATGAATTTGAGATCTCAATTCTCATGTGGTTCTTCAGTTACCATGTAAACATTGACCAGGTCAATAAAGATTCTCTGAAATCAAAGACTGTAGTAACTGCATCATATTCTACAATACTGATGTATTATAACTTTACCATTTCTTTATATATATATATATATATATATATATATATATATATATATTTCAGAGAGGAAGAGAGGGAGAGATAGAAACATCAAGATGAGAGAGAATCACTAATTAGCTGCCTCTTGCATGCCCCCTACTAGGTATTGAGCCCACAACCTGGGCATGTGCCCTTGACCAGAATCGAACCCGGGACCCTTTAGTCCACTGGCTAGGGGTACCATTCTTTTTTTTTTTTTTTTTAATATATTTTATTGATTTTTTACAGAGAGGAAGGAAGAGGGACAGAAAGTTAGAAACATCGATGAGAGAGAAACATCGATCAGCTGCCTCCTGCACGCCCCCTACTGGGGATGTGCCCGCAACCAAGGTACATGCCCTTGACCAGAATCGAACCTGGGACCCTTGAGTCCGCAGGCTGACGCTCTATCCACTGAGCCAAACAGGTTAGGGCTAGGGGTACCATTCTTATCTCATTGCTCATTTAGGCTGTGTTCAGTTTTTCACTTTTGGAAATCAACCGTGGTCAATCTCTACACAAAAGCTCTTGAAAATATCTTATTTCTGTATGATATAATCATAAAAGTTGGGATTTCTATGTTAAAATGGACTGCTAAAAGAAAAAAGAGAAATCCCACAGCTACCAGTGCATGTGTGAGAGGGAAGGAATTAATGCTTTTAATTGTTAAATGTGCACTCCTCTAATTAAAAGAAATACAACATTTGCAAAATTTTACCACTTTAAATATCCAACTTCTCTCTTTTCTTAAAACAAATACTTTGAAAAACATTTTAAAAAGTCAGATGAATAGTGTGTAAATAAGTTGATTTTAATCAGCGGATACTGCCCTGACAGGGTAGCTCTGTTGGTTAGTGTTGTCCCGATATGCTAAGGTTGCCGGTTCAATCCCCGATCAGGGCACATATAAGAATCAACCAATGAATATATAAATAAGTGGAACAGCAAATTGATGTTTTACTCTCTCTCTCAAAAAACAAACAATAACAAAAAAACCAACATCGGATATTCTAATTTCCCAATAACTGGATCTTAAAACGTGCTAAGTATTTAAGAGTGAGGAAACATGGGCGTTTCTTCTAATAATCAATCTACATATTCATAAAATTAGGACATAATAAGCCTTAGATAAAATTAAAGCTAATTTCCAAAAAGTTCTCCAAAATGCAATATAAATGAAGTTTAAGAAAATGCTGTTAAGCAACTAAACCACCAGGTTAAATTTAACATATCTTCTCTTCATTAAAGCTGCAAATGATGAAACAACAATTCTTAAAAGTTACCAAAATCTCTATCATTCCAAAGTACAAAAGTTTATTTTTATCAGCGCTAACCTGTGAAAAAGGTCACCAACTTCAGCCCTACCATCCTAGAGCAGCGATTTTCAACCTTTCATCTCATTCTGTGGCACACAAAAAAATACAGTATACTTTTTGCTGATCTGACCAAAAAAAGGGTATACTATTGATTCATTCACATCGGACAGCTATTGTTGCGTTGGCTATTGTCATTTTTAAAATTTGACAATTTAAGGGAAAAGAGTTCAGTGCCCCTATCTAAATAGTCAGATATTGCATGGTTTAATAAAAATTCCTGTGGTTCACCAGTATGCCACGGCACACAGGTTGAAAATCGCTGTCCTAGACAGAGGTGTGTCTTACCGTGAGGGTCTGCCTTTTTGTAAGCATTCCCAGCATCCACAAAGCTGGTGGCAGAATCATGTTTGCTCTGAAGCTGCATATGGAGTTTGGCTGCCTGACAAAATGCATTTCCTGCAGCTGAGGAAGATAAATTATTACAATTAAACAGAGAGGAACAAGTATCCCTACAGAACAGCCCATGCCCTAAGTGCTAGAAAGTTCCATGCCACTGAAAGAAGTATTTCAGTCAGAAGCACATGGAAATGCAATCAATGCATCTTAGGTATATATAAAAACAGCCAGAATCAAGTCAAACAGTGATAGAAGCTTCTCTCAGCCACAGAAGACCTCCCAAGTGGGCCCTAGGCCAGTGGTCGGCAAACTCATTAGTCAACAGAGCCAAATATCAACAGTACAACGAGAGAAATTTCTTTTGAGAGCCAAATTTTTTAAACTTAAACTATATAGGTAGGTACATTGTTATTAACTTAATTAGGGTACTCCTAAGGCTTAGGGAGAGCCACACTCAAGGGGCCCAAGAGTCGCAAGTGGCTCGCAAGCCGCGGTTTGCCGACCACTGCTAGGCTATCAGCTTCCATTCAATAGCGACAGCCTAGTACCAGGCCACTCAGTTTTATCCCACAGCGCATACTGAACACTGACTGGCAGACTGAAGCTACTAATGCTTAAAGAAAGGTAAAACACTGAGGTCATCTATCTCTCTTACAGTGTCCCCTGGATTTAGTTGTAATTGTTGAAGAAATTGCTAATGAAGGTTTCATGGACAAAGGAAGTTTCTCAAGAGTGATAATTAGGCCTTCAATTGTGGAATCCAAAGTTTTTCTTAAGTTCTGGAATAGGAAAGTTAGTACTAACAGGGATGGAGAGGAAAGGATTTGTTCCACTAGGAAAAGCACAATTTAAGAATATCACAAAACCTTTTGGTATTAAAAAAAAAAAACACAATTCCAAAACATACAGAAAATAGTATCAGATGCCTAAGTACCCACTGCTTGTATTTCTGGGCAAGATTTAAAGAGTGCCCAGGAAGTTCTGAAAATATTTAGCCACCAGCATGGAAGAGAGAACACTTCCTTGATGAATCATGAGGGGTTCCCAGAGGAGGGGCCAATGCCACTGCAAGGGTAGGGGTAGGCCCTGAGGTACTTGGGGCAGCAGCTAACTTCTGAGGGACAGTTCAGGAACGTATCAGCTGAATGGAAGCTTTGATGGGCTCTGCCTCCGAACAGTGTGGTACTAACATGGATCCCCCAAGTAAAGTGCTTAGACTGGCTCCAGTTACACGTGTTGGTCATTATTATTATTACATGCAAATCTACCCTACAACCAATACCAGTGGTTTGGTATGTTTAAATGTCATCACTTCCTTTATAACCTACATCTTTCCTCTTCTACCAGTAACTTCATTTTTTGCAGTTTATCTATGCTGACTGTCCCAGAACCAATAACGAACGGTCCATCCTTTCCTCATGGAGTATAATACCACAACTCCAGGCTCTCTAGGGCTGACTCCATTTCCCCAGACAATATTAAGTGTTTTGATTTTATCATTTCATGCTCCAAAACTAATTGCTGGCTTTTATCATTTAGCTCTTCCAAAACTAATTGCTGGCTTACTTTTTCACTGAGCACTCATTCTAATCACTGCTAACAAATGCCACTCAATTTCCCCAAACTTAAAAGTGTATTTAAAGGAGCAGATATTAAACTAAAGTCATACAACTCCTCAAGCTAAATTTCTTCACCTGTAAAACTGGTCTAATACCTGCCAGGATGATCTCTCCAAAGCTCAGTATCAATCAAATTAGCTTAATCTTTCTAACTTTTAAAACTCGATATGCAATGGTGTTATGATAACCACCACTGCTACACAGAAATAATTTCACAGAATCTAATATTTAGCCATTTACTACATGAGTCTCCTGAGCGTCTACCATGCTGCAGGCACCAGTCCAGGTCCTGCAGGTATAGCAGAGATGAAACATCCTGGACTTCTATGGTTTACATTCTAGTGAGGAGACAGTACATAATAAAAACACATACACAATATAAATTAGTAAACATTTTTTAATTAATTTTGCTAGATAGTGAATTGCTATCTTTTTAAAAAAATATATATTTTACTGATTTTTTACAGAGAGGAAGGGAGAGGGATAGAGAGTTAGAAGCATCGATGAGAGAGAAACATCAATCAGCTGCCTCCTGCACACCCACTACTGGGGATATGCCCGCAACCAAGGTACATGCCCTTGGCCGAAATCGAACCTGGGATCCTTCAATCCGCAGGCCGACGCTCTATCCACTGAGCCAAACCGGTTAGGGCTGAATTGCTATCTTTAAAAGGGTTGGCCAAGGAAGACCTCACTGAGAAGGCAATATTTGAAGGAGATAAAGAGAATCAGCTACACTCTATTTTGAAGAAAGAGTGCCCAAAGGGCTTTGAGGAAGGAGCCCGGCAAATGAGGGGAGTGGGTAGGAGATGAGGTACGAGACAGGAAGAGTCAGGGATCAGAGATCAGGTAAGTCCTAGAAGGCCACTGTTCAGGACTTTAGCCCTTATTTGAAATGACATAAGCTGACACGTTTGAACGGAATTACTTTGGTGGTTCATTAAAACAGACCAGAAAAAAATGCAGAACCTGATATATCAGAGTAGGCAAGAGATGATGGGGGAGGATAAATACAAAGCCTCTTTAGGTATATTAATGTTAATAGCCTCTCTGAAATGGAATTTCCTTAGGTTAGAACATTTGATCACCAGATAAAACAAGTGGTCTTTTTAGATAAGACCACTCTTCGCCTACTATTACAGGCCCTAAACAAAACAAAAGATGTGAATGCTGAGATAATATTCCTTTCTCCTCCATTTTTTTTGCAGTAATTAATTCAGGCATAAGTGTATTTTGAAAACATATAACATGACCTTTTTATCTAAAACTAAACCTACAAAAAAATTTTAAAGCCAGAAAAAGACCTTTCATATTCATCTAGTTCAACAGCATTTTCTTCATTGAAATGATTTTAAAAAGCAAATGGGTAAACCAACCTTAAGCTTACACAAAGTTTTGTGTCAATTATCTATAATAATCTATAATAATAAAAGCATAATATGCTAATTAGACCGGACAGCTGGACGACCTTCCGGACGAAGCCGCTGCGGCTGCGAGGGCTGAGCCCCTTGCACGAATTTCGTGCATCGGGCCTCTGGTATCTCAATAAAGCGGAGGGTGGAAGGAATAGGAAATGGGGAAATGAACGTGTGGAGGGCAAGGACCCCACTGTAGGCCAGGGTGCAGAGACCATGTCCTTGTTCTGGTTGAAGGCCATCTTCATTTCACTAAAGAGACACCCTACCATGACAAGCCCCTTTTTCGAGGGATAGGGATAACTTTGTTTCTCAAGTCAGTGTTAGAAAGAAACATCCCCTCTCAGACCAATGAAAATAATAATTCTGTTGATTCTGTTACGTGTAATTTCACTGGGTAGAAAGCATGACTTTAAAACATGACAAAAAGTCTGTTGGGGTATATATAAGTAACGCTCCCATTGTCACATTTCTCAGTGGAACCACAATCAATTATCACAGAGTTGTTCTCAGAGCAAAAAATAGAAGTTCTCTGCTAATGTGTAGGTAAAGAAAAGTAGGCATTTTTATTTATCTGATTTGTTTTTATTGAGTTTTACTACAACTTTCAATTTTTATGGCAATAGATTTATTTGAGTACATTAATAAGAAGCAAAAATTACAGTTTGATCCTCAGTCAAGGCAACCAGTCTATGTATCTCTTATATTGATGTTTCTCTGTCTCTCCCTTCCTCCCTCTCTAAAGTAAAAAAAAAAAGAAAGAAAAAGAAAAAAATTACTATTACTGTAGGAAGTGGTTTATAGAAACTAAAACAGACCCAGTCCTTATGTTTAAATTTTATGTCAGGATTTCAACTTCATTCACTAAATCAAGGTCCTTTAATCCCAGTTCTGATACCTGGCTTGAGGTATCAGATCTACAATCTTATTCTCTAAGGGGACAGCAGTCATTTCCTCCTTCAAAATGATTTTAAAAGTATCTTCCTCAAAAGCAAGCAAACAAAAACTGTATACATACCACTCCAATTTTTAGCCATCTTGAACATATTTGCAGCTCTGGTATACATTTCACAAGCCTCTTCTATTCTTGTGTTTCCTCTGAGAAAAATTTAAAAAATGAGATTAAGTTTTTCTATAATAACCATCCACATTCCTAATCCTCAAATCATAATTATTTAATGAGCATATACTATGTGCCAGACAAGCAGTATAGAATCCTAACAGCTGCTTAAAGGGGAGACTCTTATTCCTATTTTGCAGATGAGGAAACTAAGGCAAACAAAAGTAAAGTAGCTAGCCCAAGGTCACATAGCAAGGATGCCACAGAACTGAGACTCAAATACTGATCTGGCTGACCCCCGATCTTCACCCTTAACCAGAGTCCTCTCCGTGCATGCAAACTAAAGTTTATATCAATCTGAGAAATCAGAAGTACCTTTTTCAGAGGAGATTAAAATTGGAAGGATAAAGACATCTTTACCAAGTTAATTTCCAACAGTTTGGCACTATGTTTATTTAGACTTGAAAATGAAAACAAAACCTGAAGCCAGAGCATATAAGAACGAGTCACACTGCTCTATGGCTAATATTATCTGTCAGCTGTGGCAGGGAGCAAGCCCTTCCCCAGGGTGGAAGGGGCCTTAGGCTCCTGCCACTCACTGGTGTGGAAATGCATTTTATAACATCCTTAGAGGAGGGAACTCCACTGCTGCTTTCAGAACATTCAGTTCTAGAAAGTTCTTCACCAGGCAGCTGATTACATTGAGGAACAGTTTTAGCTGCTTAGAAATTTCTTCTCACATAAAGACCAAAATAACCCTCTATAACTTCCACCAATTTTCAAAATCAACCTTGTTTTCACTAAGCGCAGGCCCCTCAATTAAAGATGTTTCTCTATCTTATCTATCTATATTATAAACACAGAATAACCAGAGGAAAACCATGACACAGCAGACCGTAACTGTGCAGAACACATGATGAGTAACTGAGAGTGAAGTATGGACATAAACACTAATAGTTCTAGCCAGTTTGGCTTAGCGGATAGAGTGTCGGCCTGCGGACTGAAGGGTCCCAGGCTCAATTCTGGTCAAGGGCACCTGCCTGGGTTGTGGGCTCGATCCCCAGTAGGGGGCGTGCAGGAGGCAGCCGATCGATGATTCTCTCTCATCATTGATATTTCTATCTTTCTCTCCCTCTCCCTTCCTCTATGAAATCAATAAAAATATATTTTTAAAAAAGACTAAGAGACAAGAAAGGTCAAGGCTGACAAAAGTGAGTATGACATGAACGTGAATGAGGGTATCTGCATATGCCAGGAACTCCAACAGGCTTCAAACTCCAGTTTAGAGGCATGCAGTTCACTGCAGTTTAGCTGGTAGGCCCAGGTATGAATTATATCTTAGACAACAGTAACTACTAACTGACTCTAGCCTAGTTCTTTAATTCTTAGAGTCTCTATTTTTGCATGTGTAAACTGAGGATAATTTTATCTACTAGAGGCCCGGTGCACAAAAATTTGTGCACTGAGGGGGGGGGGGTCCCTCAGCCCGGCCTGTGCCCTCTTGCAGTCTGGGACCCCTCAGGGGATGACCACCTGCTGGCTTAGGCCCGCTCCCCGGGGGATTAGGCCTAAGATGGCAATCAGACATCCCTCTGGCAGCCTGGCAGCCCTCAGGGGATATCCACTTGCCAGCGGGGAGCAGGCCTAAACTGCAGTCAGACATCCTTAGTGCTGCTGAGGAGGCAGGAGAGGCTCCCCCCACCACCGCTGTACTGGCAGCCATCAGCCTGGCTTGTGGCTGAGCAGAGCTCCTCCCATGTGAGAGCGCCCTGACCACCAGAGGGCAGCTCCTGCATTGAGCATCTGCCCTCTGGTGGTCAGTGTGTGTCATAGTGACCAGTCATTCCCAGTCATTCTGCTGTTAGGGTCAGTTTGCATATTACCCTTTTACTATATAGGATAGAGACCTGGTGCACGGGTGGGGGCCAGCTGGTTTGCCCTGAAGGGTGTCCCAGATCAGGGTGGGGGTCCCGCTTGGGTGCCTGGCCAGCCTGGATGAGGGGATGATGGCTGTTTGCAGCTGGTCACACCCCCTTCAGGGTGGGGGTCCCCACTGGGGTGCCTGGCCAGTCTGGGTGAGGGGCTGAGGGCTGTTTTCAGGCTGGCAGGTGACTGAAGCTCCCAACCTCTCCTTTTTTTCTTTTTTCTTTTTTATTCTGGGATTTATTTACCTTCTATGGCTGTCACTGGAACTGAGAGCCGGCTTTAGCTCTGAGGCTCGGCTCCAGCTCTGAGACCTCGCCTGCTGAAAGCAGGTATCTGGGTTTGTTTGGCTTCTATAATTGAAACACTGTTGCAACTCCAGCTCTGAGGCCCGGCTGGCTGAAAGCAGGTTTCTGGGGTTTGTTTAGCTTCTATAATTGCAACACTGTTTCTTAGACTGCAGCTCAGAGGCCGGCAGCAGCAGGCAGGGAACCTTGGCTTCCTCCATCACTGGAGCAAGCAAGCCTCCTGTTCGCTTTAGCTGTGTGGCTGCCGGCCGCCATCTTGGTTGACAGTTAATTTGCATATCGCCCTGATTAGCCAATGGGAAGCATGTCAGAGGTACGGTTAATTACCATGTTTGTCTATTATTTGACAGGATACTCTGGGTTATTATGAGGATCAAAAGAAATAAATCCATAATAATTGCCATTGCAGGACTTGACCCAAAATATGTACTCAAT